CTCTGAAGTCGGAGGCAAAATCGACGCGCGGTGGCGGCAGCGCGATACACTTTTCTCAGTAGGCAATATTCATAAATCAGCCTTCAGCCCACCCCGGGCATTCTCCTGCCCCTCTTATATACGCTTAGAATAAGCACCCCTTTTCCTGATAGAGGGATGCAGCGCCGGGGTCAACTCCCCTCCTCCCTGGCCCCGTCCCCCTCTGGAAGAGGAAGGACCATGCAACGAACGAGGAACAGAGGAAACGGAGCTTTCCATGTGGAAAACGGAAACTCGTGAAGAAAGAACGAAACAGGGGGGGGAACAAGGGAGAAGAAGAAAGAGGGAGAGAGTTAGAAAACGAAGTCGAAGACGGCTTCGTGGCCCGGGACTCGCTGAGAGGGGGTGGTGGTCTCAGATTCTATTAAGATCTCAGTAAGTCTTGTTACACAGAGAGGCCACGCCGCAAATCTCGCAATAAAACAGCCACCGGTATAACACCGATTCGAGGGACCGAACCGAGCGACCGGAACCGAGGTTCTCCTTCGAGGCGTCGACGACGCCGGCGTCTGCAGCCTCGTCGTCGCCTCCCCGTGTAACGTTGCCAAACACCCGCCGCGGGGGGTAACTACCCGTTCTGCGCGTAGATGCGGCACGTACGCGAACATCGGAAACGGAAGTCTCGGTTAATCCAGTGAGAAAGCTGCGGCTATCGGTTATCCGACCAGTTTTCTTACAACCGACTTTTTGAATTCGAAACAGCATATTCTTATTTCCACTAGTCTATAAACGCAGAGGAATTACTTCCTTTCAATTAATTGAGTAAATAAATCTGTCACAATGGATCAACGAATCATTTGTTTTTTATAAAAGAATTAGCCTGGTACCCTGCGTCGTTTACCGTATTGTCGATAAGAGATCTTACTACTGCAAGAATAATCCTCAACAAATAACGCAGAACCGTATGAACGGGATAATAGAAGCTTAAAAGGTAAATATGAAGATCGATGAGGCGAGCCACGGTAAGGAGTGGCGAGGGAAGAATTGCGCGTTGAGGAGGATCGAAGACGAGCGGATGAGCGGACGAGCGAGCGAGCCGGAAGGGGATGGTCGGCCTTCGGGCAAGGGTCCGAAATCAATCAAAACATTAATTGAAAGAGCCGAGAAGACAACGGCGCCCGTTCGGCTAAGGCGGTAGCTACGGATGGTCTTGATAATCGAAAGATATCCTGGCCAATAGCCGGCACGCCCGACGACCACTGACGAGAGAAAGAGAGGGACGGAAACGGAGCGAAAGAGTAATGGACAAACAGAGAGGTAGATAGAGTGGAGAGTAAGAAACTTTCTTCCCGGTTCGTTTGTGTTTGGGACGTTCCAGGAAGTGGGTAAAGAAAATTCGCAGCACGGAGAGTAGTAGAGGGACAGTGGAAGTGGCGCGACGATGCCGATAGCGAGCAGTCGTGTCGGGCGGAGGAACGGAAGAAGCGTTTAACAAAAGGGACAAAGTCTTTTTTGGACCGGTGACACGAAACGGGTCGTGATTGTTCGCGGTTTAGGGCGCGGAAACTTGTATTAAGAGCGAGAGAGAGAGAGAGGGAGAGATAGAGCAAGAGAGAGGGAGCGGAGACACGTACAGGTAGCTCCGTAACGAGTCCCGCGGAACAAACGCGGCGTGGGTGGATACCGAGCGTACGATCTCTAAGACCAGAAAAATTGTTTATCGGTCCGGTAAACTCGATCATTCGCGTCGGTTGATTCGATTCGTCCGTAATGTACCGCAACCGCTGCTAATAGTACACGGACAGTTAATGAACGCGATCTCTATTCAATTGTGGACCGGCGTTATTAGTAGAAGCGAGCGTAGCCGCTTTATTAATTAATGAATCGATTTTAGTCGGTGGCCTGTTAATTATTCAACGTCGGTCGGCACCGGTGCAACTGCAAATGGTTCTTTAATGATCGGAACGGGAGGGAGAAGGAGGACGAGCAGGGTACCGATATTGCGCGTCGCCACTGAATCCTACCCGCTTCTCTTCTCTTCGCACTATTCTGTTTCCGCCCGCGCGGATCCATCGCTCGCATTTACATCCTGGCCCGCGGCGCGTACGATCGAACGGCGCGAATCGTGACCGGAAACCGTGACCGTTCGCCACAAACCATCCCTTCTAGGCTCGATCAACGTACCCGAAATTTCGCACGAATTACCTTATCGAACCGGCGAACTAGGGTCCGGGCTGACGAATGAAACGAATTAAAGTTCTGGTTAATTATATTCGCGCTCGCGTGCGACCACGATCCGCCCACGTTCGGCGAGGGGCGGCACGCGAAAAATTAAATCGAGGCTCCCGAGAGACGGTCGGAACTTCCGACGTACCCGCGCGGTCCCGAACCGGTGGATGGACTCCGGAAAATTTCGGGGACAATTTTCGGGGTTCGCCCTGCTGCCAGGCTATGGGGAAGATATTAGAATCGCTGGACACGGGGAAAAGTCTTGTAAATGGATATCGGGGGCCGACGCCCAGAAGTACGCGGCACTGCCACCTGGCGGAGTGCCCAAAGATCCCACGGGAAGCTTCAATCGCCGTAAAAGCAACGCCTCTGGACGGGAACGCTGAGGCGGGACGGAGAGGAGGGTGAGGGGTTAGAAGTTAACTTAGAAGCTCGCGGGTGGATCACGTGGACGCGACGAAGACGGAGGTAACCGAATCGCCCTGCGAGCGAGCGAGAAGAGGTGCGCAGGGGTCGGATGCGAGGGAGTAAGATATAGGAAGAAGAAGAGCGGAAAAGGACAGCGCGCGATGGTCAGTCCTGGAGATACACGTTCGACCGGTGCACCCGACTTAAGAGGATTACATTTGATATTTCGATCGAGCAAAGTGGCTTTTTATTGGACATTCGCCTCGGAATTATCGCTGACGCGTGTCGAACGACATTACGCGTGCCCGGCATTATTAAATTATATCGCAACTGACGGTCCCCTGTAATTTCCACGGCCTCGTTGACAGGATACCTCGCGCGAACCCCTATCACGCTGTCACGAAACGATCGGAGATCATGCCTGAAGATGATGCTTTGCATCATCAAATATGATACACGTGTGCGTAGCAAACGACGGTATGGAAATAGAAAATGTGCAAGAGAAGTCGTCCGCTAATTGCGTCGTTACTGTTATTCGTTGCATAAGCCGGAGCGGAAAGTTTTCAAGATTTGATTCGGCCGTGGCGACGAATGAAAGCGGGAAACAATTATTGTCGCCTCCTAAGCTGGTTACATTCGAGTCGCTGGTACAGCTTCAGCAAGAACAGCGTCGGTGTGCGACGCGGCACAAGGCAAAGCGACGTCACGGTCATACTTCTGCTTTTAGCCAGAGCTAATTAGCCGCACCAATTTGTCGGTGTAAAATAAACGTTTGCCTCGCTCGACCGTCTCCCTCGCTCCAGTTTTCTCAATTTGTTTGCGAGTACGCGCGCGCGCGCGCGCGCTCGCGCCTACACGTACACACGGACGTACGTCTGGCTGTGCATCGCCCAACAGTCTCTTCCACCCGCAACCCCCTCTCTTTCGTTCCTCCCCGCGGACTTCAAACGAAATAATTAAGTCACTCCGTTCGGGAGGACGACTAACGAGACCGCCGCCGCTACTAAAACTGGCGCCAATTATTGAAATTCAAACGACTGGATACCCTCGCATCTCTTCGCCCGGACAAGGACGACCAATGTACAGTCTCCTCGATATCCGGTCGCATCGGATCACCGATGAGCGTCTTGGAATTCGAACGAGAGCGGAATGAAAATACGAGGATTAGGAAACTCCATGAATGGAAATTAACCAGATCAAATAGAGTGACGATGTGTTCCATTAAAATAAGATAATATCGCTGTGTTCCATTTGATAGATAGTCTACGACTAGAGATAAATCACATACATATATACGTACATATGTAGGTGCTATTTTCGTGAATGAAATTTTTTGTGCGCTGCTTGTATGAAGGGGGATAAGCATCGAGCGGTGCGGCGTATCAAAGTCAATTAAAGCGGTATCCCGCTCGCAATAACGACCGGGCATTGTGTTGTATGAACACGACGAAATGTCTCGCGCGGTAATTCCGGTCGTTGATTGAAAAATTCCTGTTGCCCTGAGCCACCGTGCGATAATAGAACGCGACCACCGTCGAGCTACGAACGTCAAAACGGAGCAATGTAGCCGGGGCATTTGTCGGGATGCAGATTAGACCCGCTTCTAAGGAATCGGTATCGTTAACGGCAACCCTACGAATGCGTTTCGTTGCCGCCAATCTGTCTAGTGGAGCATCGCAGATTAAGCGCCGGAATGCGCGTATTAAAATAAGAAAGAATACGGGTAACGATATAAAATAGACTGTCGACGAACATAACACGCAGTCATGCATAATTTTCACGTTCCATTTATCTGCCAACCACTTTTTCATGTGCCACCTTTCGCATGCAAAGCGGATTACGCGGAATTTTATAATAATTTTCGAACGACGCGGATTGAGCGGGAACGCGAGAACGCGCGGGCGCGCGCGAACCCACGTTAATCGCGGTTCTATGGAAAGGGCGAAAGCGGTTTTCACCGGAAACCCCTCTGTTAAATTGAACGTGTGATCGCGTTCGACTCTCTCGCCGACCGAATTCAAGTTCGTGAAATTTGAATTACATGCCTTATTACAGATTCTTCCACTGTCTTCTGTTTCTGTCAGTATGATAATGAACGATGATGTTTAAAAAGACAGACGTAAAACTTGCTCTTTGAACTACCATGTGCGTGCGGTGAGGACAATGTGTATATTTTAAAAATACGAAATCGTAAAGTATATTTGCACATGGCTTCATCTTTCGACTTGCACTAATCTACACCTTTGTATTTTTATGTATTTTGACATTTTATAATATGTCAATTCGAATTAACGTGATACGAGTATAATTATCGAACGAATTCTAAATCGCATACTCGGTTTCTTCAAATTCTAAATAAGACAGAAAAATGTTGCGTGACTTACCTAACAGAATTCGAGACTTGAGCCAGTTTCCCCGAACGCCTCGTGCACGGTTCTCTGGATTCCCTCGGACACGTGACACTACACCAGCTACACAGAACAATGTTCACTCGTTATCATCGATCTCATGAAAAATCTGAACATTTATTTCGAGAAACAAATCAAAATGCAATCGATCGTACGATTTGTCAAAGCTTCGACTTCGATCGCGTTTACTCGTGAGACGAGACGTATCGCGAACTTTCGGACACCGTGAACGAGTCAAGAGACTGCGATAAATCGCGAAACCGCCTATTCGGCGGTCGGTTGTAAACTGCCGAGTGCCGCGTGCGACCGCGGCACGCCACCGAAAGTGATAAATCCCCACTTCTCGCACAACTACCCCTCCAGTCACCCCACTCTCTCACATTTTCTCCCACCAGTTGACGGATTTCCACCCCTACGAATTTCTCCACCCGCGGCAGTCTCCCCACCGTCGACGGTTGCCACTCGACCGTCGTCATCGCACCCGTATTCGAACCCGAGGAGAACTCCGAAACCCGTATTTGCACCCACCATCAAAAGCAACCCGCACGTCACCCCATACCACCCAACCCCACCCCGCCCCGCCTGCCCATCATCAAACCATTCACGCTGCCGCACAGTTTAACTCGAGCGGAATTCTCGGTGCGGAGGAGAGGAGGAGCCGAGCCGATTAAGACGGTGATCAAAGCACACCAGTCATATCGGTCCCCGGAATATGTTCCCACGAATCGAGAGCACCGGCATTCGATCGGTCCGAGCACGAAAGGGATCGTGACCGAGCGAATAATTTTTGTTAAGAGCTCGATCGACAATCCGATGCATTTGCCTTGTACATTCGGTGTAAGTTAATTAGAAAGTAGACCGAAAGACAAGTTATACGAATTAAAAAGAGGAAACGCTTCCTGCATGCGCGGTTTAATAACCGCACGAGCATCTGTCGTTTGCAGAGGAACGAACGTTTCTAATTAGCATTCATTCAAGGATATGGCAACAGAGAAAGTCGCCTTATATTTGTCGCTGCGGAAGAGTGTGACTGTGTATACAAGCTACGATGCGAATCGGTTAGTCAAAGGAAGAAACTGGTGTACGAGAGAATGGAATGGAAAAGATAACGGAAGGGAAAGGGAGAAGGATGGGTAGCGTGGTGGATCGTAACTCGGTTCGAGACATAGCGACGGAGGATTAACCACCGAAGCAGCGTGCTCGCAACGTAGGAGATTCCACCCCTAAAATCGCCCCTACGTTACCCTACCATTGCCCGACGCAAGGCGAACGCAGGGATGGCATCCCTACTATATGTCCGGTTTGCCCGGCGGGAGACGCGTCTACCACCCCTACGAGGCCACACCTCCCATTACAAAAATTACACTGGTCGCTGATTTAGTGTTCTGCGCCGGTTCATAGGCGAGGGTGGCACGCGGGGCGAAGGAGGTACACGGAGTGAGCTGCCGCGGCGCGCGAGGGTGCCTCTCTCGTGGGGTAGACTAAGGGTGGGGACGTAAGTAATGAAAGGGTTGCCCGCCGGCTTCGAGAATCACGGAATCATTCGCCAGATTAAATTAGAAAGGCTACGACCTTTTTTCCACTCCCATACTATCCACACCTCTGTATGCGGCGACCCGGCGAAATGGATTAGGCCATGTTTACTGCCCCGGCATCGGCGATGGTCTCTTTTAATTACCGGCTGATTTATGACCGACCGCTGATTAAATCAGGTAAAAGAGTGGATTACTCCGGCAAAATGACGTTGCCGTGAAACTTATTCGATTCGCAGTTTTATACTTTGCCCCGTTCCCCGTCGTCCTAATCCGCACCGTCGCCCGATCACCACCCCTCTCGCACCCCCCCGCCTTCGACCACGACTTCCAACCGAACGTGCCCGATCGACGCGCGGTTAAATTTAACGTTCGCCGAGAGTTTCCGGTCCACGGGAACCGTGCCGCTCTATTTTTCAAATTGGGATTTCGACGCGTTGGTTTACAATTTCACGTTCAATCCTGGTTTTTTCGTCCGCCCCGTCGTCGTTTCGCTCCCATCAACGTCATCGCGTTGTTACACACACACAACCGCGCAGGAACACGTAGACGTCTCCCTTTCCCCCTATTTTTCGGCGGGAACGAGATGAAATTGGGGCGATTGCCAGGTTTCATCCGCAATCAGGGACGAAACCATCTATGTTGAATTTAATTTCGTAGAATGTCGCGCGGGTGCTTTTAGCCCGAAGCGAGCAACATCTCGTCGTCGCCCGCTCGGTCGGACCTGTTCGTCCTCGCGACGGTTTTCGCACTTGAAATCGATCTTGCACCCGGAGGCGCGCACAAGAACCGTGGCAACCGTGGGCCGGATTTAAAAGCCGAGCAAAACACATCCGAGGAAATACAGCGGGTCGTTTCCAAGCGATCGGAATTCGTTTTCTCACGCCCATTACGGATACCACCCTGGCAGCGTGGCACGCTCCCGCACGATAAACCGAAATCGTGAAAGAGTCGAATAGATGAAAGATCTAGACTCCTAGATTCTATAGGCGAAAGGAATGCTCGTAGAGTACGGAACGAGGAATAGCGAACCGAGAGAACGAGGGAAGTAAGGATGGAAGAAACAAGTAGACACAGAGGGAGGAAGGGAGGTAGAGAGAGAGAGAGAGAGAGAGAGCGAGGTTGGGGAAGATGGGGAGGGTACTAATCACTTCTAGGGACTTTAATGGAGGTTTTCTGTACGCCGTCTACTTTGTCCACGACTTATACTACTTCGAACCGGTTGGAAGTGGAGTATTTGGGAGAAAAAGCAGCCGGAGAGTAACGTTACGTGTATTAAACTAAACGGGCACTCTCTGCTAGCTCACTCGCTCGCCGGGTTAGGCCAACCCGAGCTGACTCTCTTGTCTCCCAGAAGAAACGTTCCGTGTCGATGCCGAAATAAATTCTACGGGCTGCCACCCGCACCCTCCGCCAGTGTACCGTTCGAGACCCGTTCGAGTTTCGCCCCGAAACGGATTTATTTAGCGTTCGTTAATTAAGAGAGCCCGCACGCCGGTTTCAACTTCTAAATTCGATCGAGCTTTTCTTCGATAAAACCTAAATTTCCCGTAGTCACGCGATACACCCTTCCGTTCCCTCCCGTAATTACCGGGATGTTGCCCCGAAACAGGGAACACAATTCAACGTCCGTTTCCGTTAACGAGACCGTAACTACGTAACGATAATTACGTATTCTTTTTCGAACGCGTAGCAAATCCAAATGTTCGCTTATAAATTTGACGTCGATATCCCCCCAAGTTATTCGGAGTAAATGCTTTGAGAATTTCAATGTAACCATTCGAATTTGAATATAAATGTAAAAATTTGAATTTAAAAATACTTTGGAGAAACGTGATAGACGAAGGATGCTTTAAATTGTTGCGCGTCCGCAATTATCGAACAACGCGGAATGTCCGAGCGGACCGGTTCCGACGCGGCGAGCGGATCGACAAAAATTTGATGGCCAAGTTTCCCTCGGTAACGCGAACGTCCTCTGGATATTGATATCTGGAAGAAGATTTCTCTCTCTCTCTCTCTCTCTCTCTCTGTTTCTCTCTCTTTCTCTCGATGAGCAAATGGATACATCCCGTTCTCAAAGTTCTCATTCGACTAGAAGTGCATCCTGCTGTCTCTGTTCCCATCGAATCCATCCGCCCGGCCAATATGCTCGCGCGTGTTCGCGTAGTGCGCTCCGATACGGATTTATTATGCATAGACCTGATGTATCGGACATCGGCCGGACAGCTACGTGGCCGGGAGCAATGTGTGCGTTAGTGCCTCTCAAGTGGCGTTGCCCATCAACGGAGAGGTAGACGTTACTCTCGAGAGTGGACCGGGAAAGGACGAGGACCGCCACGGCGAAGGATAAGAAGAAGGATGACGCGACTTCGGTAGGAGTAGATGAGAGTGGGAGAGTAGTAGTCGGGCGTACTTCTGCTCCTTCTCCGACTGCTTTTTCCCCGAGAATCCTTCCCCCCTGTTCCGCAGCGAAACAAGTTCTATTCGTCTACCTCAACGATGCCGTCTCCGGCGTGACACGCGAACCCACGTACAAGAATCAAATATATTTTCGTTTCGCAATCGTTTCTTTCAATTATCAGTTAATTACTGCCAACCGCCTCGTACTCGTTCGTACCTCGACGAAGAAAAGAAATTGTTCCGTTTTCTAGTTTATACGTTTCGCGACGCGCGGACACAGGTCCGATGGGCTGTTTGCCCGGTAACACGTGTACGCTCTTAAAAATGCCCACCGTTTTGCATCTCCGCGGGAAAATATTTGTGCAACGAGCGCTCGCATACGTCCCGGTGGCTGTCCAACGCGATTTCGTACACGCCGCGTCCCGTTGTTGGCCCTTTATCCAAACACGACGGCATCCAGCCTTCCTGCCGGTGCAACGTCAAATATTTTTTCGAGCGTAAACTTGGAAAACAACCGGTCAGTTTTTCGACTATTAGGCGATACGCGTCATACCGGGACCGAGGAAGGACGAGGGACAGAGCGAGAGAGACGGAGGATAGATCGATCCGAAAAACGTGATCGTTTGGCTGCAGTTCGAAACTGTTTCCATCGATGCGGAATCATAGAAATACGTTGATGCGCGCTGCGGATTTTGGAAGGACGCTGCCCGATGGCACCGATGCTCGTGTGGCACAGATACTGAGAGCTTTTCTAGAAGAGCAGGGGTCCATTAGCCGACTCGCCTGTCTTCTGAGTCCATTACAAGATGAGCCACCATCCCCTCAAACGCCCTACCCTTCTCCAACGTTTCCAACTTACTCAACGATACACTGCGATCTATACCGACCGTATAGATACGTTTCTCCCTCTTCGTACTTTTCCTCTCTTTCCCTCGTTTTTCCTCCCCTGATCCGCCCCACCGCCCCGACGGCGTCCCTCTCCTGACTACTCAACTTCTCGATCCTTCTTGTCCGGCCTCTTAATCCTTTCCCTCGCAAATAGGCAGCGGCGTAAAAGGTATCGGGCATTACTTCATAGCGTCGTGTAATTACCGAGTTTTTTACTCGGCAACGAGACTTCGAACCGGATTA